AGAAGACAAGGGATACTAGACAGCGGCTTAAAACAACAGCTGCAAAGAATGAGAATATATGATACCTAATGTAATTCTTAAGGCTGGATGTGAATTTGGGGATACAAATCATGTGAGTTATACCCAAAAGTAGTTTTTGAAAGATTGTTTCTTTTTGTAACTGAAAAACAAGCTTCACCTTTGTTTATGGTTAAGTAGCTAATGCTTTGCAATTACTGCAATTCCTTTCAAGAGCCCCACTATGACATTTAAAAATTTCTAAGTCTGGTGCAAAACATGGGAGCAATCACCTAAAAATAAGCATAACAAAATTGTTGAACCCAGTTATCTTAAAACAGTTCAAGTATTACCTCTCTAAATATAGAGGTTTAGTTTTGAAAGAATTCCCAGGAACAGGTGGTAACCAATATTGGGTTTAAACTCTGTTTTATTTTTTAAATCTTGGTCTAATCCAATTGCAGATTTTTCTGCATTTTCAGATTTTTTGCCATTTTGCAGTTATAAAATACTTTCAACAAAATATATCTCACATGTTTAATTGGAAAAATAACGATTACAATCAGTTTTTATAAATTATTAAGATGACAGAGATGCTTTTACTCAGGGTTACATCCTCTTGGGAACCGTTGCCACAATGGCACCAGAAATTATTTCTAAAGGAGTGATGCTGAGAAAGCAAAGAACGATTAAAACAACAATTCCATTCACTGGGATCTAAATTATTAATACATAATTAATTATGCTACCTGATTAATCTTCCAAGATTAATGTGAGATTTTTGTGAGAGATGGAAGTTGTCATCACCTCACTTTATACAAATGAAGAAACAAAGGCATAATTTATTAAAAACAACTATATGAATTTGTTTTTGAAAGTGATTAGATATCTATTTGTTGGCTACATAATTCTATACCACTAGTTTTAACCAATCAAATCTCAGCATAAGCAGGTAACTTAAAAGACTGTAAGAGGGCTTCCCTGGTGGCGCAGTGGTTGAGAGTCCGCCTGCCGATGCAGAGGACACAGGTTTGTGCCCCGCGGCTGGGCCCGTGAGCCATGGCCGCTGAGCCTGCGCGTCCAGAGCCTGTGCTCCGCAACGGGAGAGGCCACAACAGTGAGAGGCCCACGT